AGTTTTCTTGAATTGTTTGTTTTGAAATTGTTTATTAGTACAATATCTTTTAAGAGAACAACCTAGCCCACTAAAAAAATTGTAAAACATAAAAATATTTATTATATGTAAAGAAAAAATAAAGTATAACAAATTGAATTATTACCATTCAACTTTAAGCAGTCGATTGAGACACCTATCATCACAGCCTGTATTTCCTTCAATTATATCTTCTTTAGATAATGTACACTCACAATAATCGTTTATATCACCAGATATAACCCTATGAATATAATACAGCATGATTTAAAAAAAATCAAGTCAAACTTGGGCAACTCAAAGTTAAAAAGATCAACAAAAAAGTTCAAGTCATCAAAAAATTTGAGTAATCTAATAAACCAAACATACAAAATTAGGTTTAAGGACTGTGGAAAAAGTTTGAGGTATAGATAATTTAGAACAAACCMCCTTTTACTGTAATTATTATATGGCTCAATACAAAATATATTATACCAGAATGTGTTGTCATTGTCTTACAAACATATAACATATCAAATTTTATGTTGAAATAATCCGTTTGACTGTTATTTTTTATGTGTGTGTCAATTATTCTATTATTAAATAACTCAATTACCGAGGATTCCACAAAAGAATTTTTTATATTTATATTTTAAAGCAAGTTATAAAAATTTCAAAATTGTTTAAATGCCTAMAATTTGCTTTAAAATTGATATATAAAAAATACAAAGCCATATAAAATCTTATCTTTGAACTTGATAATGTATAATTTTATTCTAATATAATTAAAAGGATTATTTTAAGAGGACAGCATAACCTCATGTATTGTCTCCATCTTAAACACATATGATGTAGCACTTTTTTGTTCACCAGTTTTCATAGCACACAGTTAGTTTTGATATTAGAGTGAATTGAAAATACCAAAAATAAAATTTAAAATCAAGATTATTATCAAGGGCCCCCATGCAAGTTTTCATTGATATCATAGTTTTGAAGTTATGACTTTGTTAAAACTATATACACATCTTAAAATGAACATAAATTGCTTAAAACAATATATCAATAAAASCCTGAGTTAATTTTACCTTTAAATTTTATAATAGGTCAATTTACTTTCAAGTCAAAACTAACAGTGCGCTGTTGAAACTGTTAAATAAAAATTTGCTGTGGTTCACGTGTAAGAAAAAAGACAACATATGCTGTTATAACATACACTTAAATGTATAAATTGTTATAATGAGTGTTGGTAAGATGGAGACAACATTTAATGGTTTAAACATCATATCTAATATAAAAACTGAGTTATTATACCGTTGTTTCAGCTTACGTAACATAGGAATCTCAGATGGTGGATAAGATTTCAAAGCTTGCCTGAAAAAAAAAAGTGATGAATAAGGTTTTGAATTAAATGGTAATAACTTCAATCAAAAATGAATACACAGATACAAAGATGATATTAAACAGGCCTTGATTTAGTATGAAATGTTAAATATTTTTTAGTGGCATATTTGCTTTCTAGAATGTTTCTTTTTTTTTAAGAAACTTCGCCAAAAAATAACTGTTTTAAAGAACCATTAAGATTCAATTTCTATTCTAGAGAAATGAAACATATAGTGCATTTACATTATATTTTATGGAAAAACAAATACATTTTCTTAAAATTATTATTTTAAACTTATTTCTATCTGCCTATCATGAATTAATAATTTCACTTTGTATTACATATCAAAAGTTAACAGTCAAATGCTTTTTAAAATAAGGATTAAGTAAAAATTAAATTAATTAATAAAAACAAATATGCATGTACAAAATTTAAAAATATTATAACAATATCATTAAATAGATCTTATAGTATTTTTATACAGCCACATGTACAGTGCAATTTGCATCATTTAATATCGTTCCATAAGCTAAATGACACAAATTAGMATTATGATAAAATCATTTACTTTTTGTGATAGACTATATATTAAATATAAGWATATTTCATACATTTGTGTAAGTAATTCTTATATAATATTACAATTGAATTATACTATGAACAAATATAAAATGCAGGGAGTGTTCTTAAATTTTTAATTATAACTGTGTATTAGGTACTTACCTACTAGGTCTGTATACATTTTCGTCAACTAATGTAAAATTAGTAGCTTTTAATTTTTCATCAAATTCTATATCGTTATTTCTTGCTTCAAGTAATTGATTTTTGTGTTCTTTGTAAATTTCATCAGCTACCTGATTATAATTAACTTCTGGAACTTTTATATCATTAAGTATTTCCATATTATTATTTTTAGTTTTAATTCTTTTTGACTGCCGCCTTTTTTTTTTGGGAGACTTTTTTTCAGGTTTTTGTAATTTAAAACTATCAATCACAGGATCTTTTAAATTATTTAAACTTTCAACACTTTTATAGCGTTTAAATGAATGATGAGTTTTTTTCAATATGKAATCACAACTTTTGGAACGAATTCCTCGGAGTTTATGAATGGGATTAAATTTTAAATTTTCTGATTTTGATAAAAAAGATTCAGGTATCACTAAATTACTATTTTGATATTTTTCATTATATTGGTTTCCATCCATATTCGACTCATCAAATTGCTTATGCTTATTTAAATTTTCTGCAGATATTTTATTTAGTTCTGTAATATTTAATAATTTATTACTCAAACCAATAAAATCTCTACAGTTCAAATCACAGTCATTTAAGGAATATGATTGTTGGGAAGTATTTTTATCTGTTATATTCTCTTTTTGAACTAATTTGTTATCTTCAATTAATAGCTTCTTATTTAAATTTAAATATTTAATATCATTAGAAAGATTATAATATTCATCTTTTTCTAACAATCTGATATTATCCTTTACATCTTTTGTAAATGAGAACTTAAACTTCCATGGTAAAGAGGCTCGACGAACAGGCTTTAATGGAAATTTATCAATAATTTCACTCATATTATTAATACYCTTTGATTGAAAAATTGAAATAGTATTCCAATCTACTGAAGTATGTCTTCTAATGATGTTAGATTCTTGTGATAAATTGTATTTACATGTGTCTTCCTGGTCATTATCAGATGTATAAGAAAATTGTTTCATTTTATGTCCTTTTTCATCAAAATTTTTGGAAGAGATTTTTTTTTTTTTATTTGACTGTCTAAAGTTTGTTCTATTACTGGTAATCCTACGAGATTTTCTTAATTCCAAAGAGTTAAATTCAGAATTATAATCAGTACTATCATTTAAATCACTTGATGAAACATCTGTTACAGTATCAGACATATCTAATGAAGACTGTGATTCTTCCATCATCATTTCTATTTGACAAGATTGTGTCCACCGTGATTTGACTTTTACAGGCTTTTGATAATCCACTGGAGGACTACTAGAAGACATTTTATGCTGAGTTTATTTACAAAAAAATGTATAATTTAGTTTCGTTTTTAAATTGATTGTTTGATTTTGTATTGAATAGTCCATCTGTCAAAAAAAAAAAATATATATATTTTATTTTACAAGATCAATATAATATTACAAAAAAGTAATAACACAGTTGATTTTTCTATTATTTTAAATACCCCCAAAATATGTGGATGATGACTATGATGACTACTCTATTCCAGGTTAAAAGTATACTGCATGTAGACTAAGCCGTCAAATATCATTGGATCCAGGGCCGGTGTTAGATGTGAGCAACCTGGATCTATGTTCAGTGTGCTTGTTGAAAGGGGTTGCCGCCTTAATCATATAATGTTAAAACTAAAAAAATTTTAATATTCAATCCATTCTATTGAATATTATTTTTTATGGTAGGTCATTGAGATAGATAATATATTAATATATACTAGAGCGCAAGATCACCATTCTTGCAATGATAAAAAAAAATGAGCCGTCCCGAATTCCGCTTCTCCCCCTTAATTAGATTTCCATCTTTAATTATTTCCAAAAAAATTGACCATAGAAATTTTGTAGAGTTTATTTTTCTGAAAATATTGAGGTTTCAAAATTTTATTTTCATTGAATTCCTATTTTTAATTTGTTTTTAGTTTCCGGCAAAATTGCGAATTATTTAACACCGTAATGTTATCAAACACGTGACCTGTTGCGCCACGCGCATTCCCATACAACCAGCCGAATACTTTCCGTGTTCCTAAGAGTTATAATCATATTTTATTTCTTCAAAACTAGAAAAAATATTAAAAATCAGGAAATTAATGAAAATAATTTTAAAAAAAAATATTTTTTACAAAAACATTAAAATAAATTTAAAAATGAAATAATTGTAGTTATTTTCCCTGTAAATCTTATTATAAAACCAGAATTTTGATATCTCCATTATTTCGAGAGATATGGCAATGGGTAAATCCTCGTGGAACACCCTGTATCTATACACAAATAGGTAATCTAAAAACTATTAGGGAGAATATATGATTGATATTTTGAGTTATATTTCTGGATATATTTTTAGAAGTTTGATGAAAAAATTTTTGTGCCGATATGTTGATAAAATATCATCAATCTAATAATAATAACTATACAGCCGTTACTTTTGTGAATGATTATTAATGCTTCAAATTTCTTTTGAAGCATTAAGAAAAAGCTTTTCAAATGTTGTGGTCAAGGAAAGTCAATTACATAAAAATATAGCGTACAATAATRTCAAATATACTAGAAAATAAAAATTTGTTTACCAAAACATATAAACTAATTAAWAGACAATATTTCAATATGAAAGCTTAGATAAATATAACCCTACTCTGAAAGAGGAATTTAAAAGTGATTTTTCTATTGTTTTATGGATACAAATATCTATATAACTTCAATAGTCATGTTTTGAACAGTTGGAAGCTCATAAAAATACATGGAGATTCTTATATAATATTTCTGATTTACATGGACACGATTTTTTGGTAAAACATTGTATGGTTTACAAAATATACTTATACATGATACACGAGAAAGAATATATTAAAACTCTATTATCAAGATGTATCTTCTTTAAAAGCAGTATTGGAATATATGTTACACTTAGTACATCCAATCTATTTACGAACACCTGGATATCCTTAAGAATTGTATTAACTATTCCTGCCACTATTATAAAAATGTTTATATTAAAGTTTAAAGTGTTAATTTTTTAGTTAAAACTAATATGAAAAAAAAAATTAATAATTAGAATAGGTATGATGTGAATTTTTTTTAAATAAAATAATACAATAAGMATAAGGGAATAAGGCAATAAGGGATTTCTAAATATGATTTGTTGATGTAGGTAAAGACATACTCAAATTATGGCACTTACATAAAATAGCTACTATTTATAAGGACAGGCGCATATTTATTTAGTTGCTCTGGGCACCAATAACTCTAAGGCTGGCACTGAATTTGGACCCCTTAGGATTGTTATCATTGGTGTCTGTTGTTGCTCAACATCACATTGCTCGTTTATTCTGCTACCATAAATATGCCATTGGGGAAGCACAGACATGACCAATTGAGAATCTACTACCTATAAACCCTTTAAAACATTTTGAATATATTAAGAGCTAGGACTGTCAAAGTAAACAGATGATTATTTGTATTAGTGCAGACTAGTTACACAAGGTGCACTTGGCGTTAGCTAACGAAAAGCCTTTGAATTGAAGAATCTACTGGCTCTCACATACCAGAATTATCACTACTATAATACTATACAATTATATTATGTATAAGGCCTAATGCTCAAATGTTTTGGTCTGCTGAAGTTTTTATATTTTTATTTTTATTGGTAGATTAAATAAAAAAATATTATATTCAAATTAAATGTATACATGACCTAACCTAAACTTAACTATCAAGGTAAGACTTAGTAAAACATTTCATGCAAGTGTCTGTAGTGGGATATTCRAAACCTAATTAATTATAATAATAATATTGTACCATAAATTTAGCATAATATAATCAAACATAAAATACAATTATATCTCACAATTAAAAGGTGCATTCTATGTCCATATTGTGGGTATGAATATGAACAACAGTTGATTCTGAAATAATACAGATCACAGATGGTCAGTTAGGATTCTATCAGTAAATTTAATAGAATATTACCAAATACTCACAAGTAATTATGTCTAAGATAGTAACAAATCCACATTCTAGTTTAGGAGACATCAGAGAATGAGAAATAATGTAATATTACTTGCTTGAYGCACTTTCTCTTTTGAAATTCGAATAAACTATGCAAAATATCGGAAGTAGTAAAATCGAAAACGGCTCAAGCGAAAACACAACAAGCTTGCAAGCAGTGCTTTAATCTTATTTCTATACTCTCGGCGAGTGCCGCTCAACAGTCAACGCTATGCGATCACGAAGACACGAAAGAAAGAAGACGCTTATCAGTTATCACAGAAATGATTAATCATAATATTTTAAAAGGACATACCTATAACTGCTTTAACCACCTTGTTTAAGACCAAGGTTTATAGATAATGTATTATATAATATGAATAATATGATAATATCTATTATGACCGTTTCAACCTTACTTTACTGACAAAGTGACAAGACGTGATAAGTAGCAACCATAAACCTTATACTTTTATGTTCTACGAAGTTTATTCAATACAAGGACGTGGATTGATTGATTGATTATAGAATGATTATAATAATAATTATAGATTGATTCAATCATAGATAATTAAGAATCTTTATTATCTATGGATTCAATACCTTCGTTGAGCAAACAAAAAAAAATTCTGATAAGGTGATAAGGATAACCTAAGTCGTCTCACCTTATTACTGTTATTACCTTACGTCTCATAACCACGGTTGTTGTGGTGTTGGGGACGTGGGTTGGGCTGCCCATTTTTAGAGATACATTTTTTCCCGTCGCCGATGTCGTCCGTCCGTTGCCGTCTGTCCGTGTGCTTGTGCGCCGCTGCCGTGTCAATGCGTACACTGAACGTATATAGCAAGTTAGAAGTGACCCGTTTGGTGTAGTGTATAAAATGACGTGAAGTCTTTTTAAACGTTTTTATCTAAAAAAATTGCATTTCTGTATTCCATCTTTTATTAAACGATATCTGATTAAAATGCTCACTCGAAACTACCGCAGGCACATTAAAATACCATCGGAAGCGGCGTAAATGTGTGTTCTACGAGGCTGACACCATTGCCTCCGCTGCCGTTTTAACAATTTTATTAGCTCTGCTACAGTCCAGTTACCATTGATAAATCACTACAGTGTGGTACTCGTATTATACACTATTGTGGGTAAGTACAAATATGTCATTAATTATAGATATTTCAGTAGGTAGTGAGTACTTGTGTAAATGAGGAGTGACTGTCAATATTGTCCACTTTATGAGTCATTCTGCATGTATGAGTAAAACTTTTTACACCGACAAATATGCATATTACCTAACATATTATTTGCTGTTTCTGATAAACAATTATTATTGTTTTTATTTCTGTTTTGAATACTATATTTACTTGTCACTTCATAACCTTTTTTCCTTGAAGTCTTCACTAAATAGGGATCAAACTGTTTGCGCATTGCTTGGCCCATGTCAGCTAAAAACTAATGCAGTTAGGTAATACACTAATATCTATACAATAACATTTGCATAAATGTCTATTCTAGTGAAATAAATCTCTAGCTACCTAATCATAAAAATAAATTTCTAATATTAAAATAGAATTTCAGTTGATATGTTAAACTAACATAAAATGTTTACATTGAATATTTGTTGACATTATGGAACTCTGTTTTTACTTATTGCATTAAATACTCTATATAATATTACTAAAGAAAATCTGATAGATAGATACTATGTGCTTTTAGTTTTCCTAATAAGAATTCTTTAGTAGATATCTTATGTAAATATATTATTTTTACCATCAAATACATTTCTTATATTTGGTAGGTTTTTACTTTATAATATATATCTAAGTATAGAAATGGTTAATAGATTCCTAACTTTATTGTACTAGGTACCTATTAAAATATTATAGTAAAATGTTCAATATTGTTATGCAATATTATATGTCATGTCATGGACACCTAGTGCTTTTGCATTTTAAGCTAAAGGAGACCTTATAAATTTAAATTGCATATAGGTAACCTACCCATAGTTATCTAGGTGAATGTATGTTAGACTCGTTTAAAAAAAAAATATTACAGTATGTTCACAAGACACTTGCTATTTTTTTAAGGTTTATTAATCAGTAACCAGCCTTCCTATAGGTAATTTTATTAGGTCCTTGAAAAAATAAGATATTTTAACATAAGCTCTTAAATAAACACCAATGGTTTAATATTATATCATCAGAGCCGTATTTAGGGGGGAGCTACAGGGTACTGTTTCCCCGGGCGGCTGAGTAGGAGAGGGGGGGCTAATTTTTTATAATTTAAATTTAAATTTGTATTTTGTATAATGATTAATGAGACATATTTTTTTGTTGCCCCTTGGTGTCAAATTCCTAAATACGGCCCTGTATATCATATTATTCATATTCCTACAATTGTGTTGAATCGATATAACACAGCAGTCAGCAAAATTTATTTATTATATTATTCTAAATTTGTATAATAATTTAGTTTTAAATGCCCTTACTTCTTGTAATCTCAACCCATAAAGATATTTTTTTTAAATGTGCAATTATAAAGTAATTAAATACCCATTTATCCATCTTAAAGTTACCTAGTAAATTTTAGTGGGATATTTATTAACAATAGATGTTTAGCAGTTAAAGTATAGAGAATAAGTTGTTACCCATCCTTCATTAAAAAAATTAATTGTACATAATATGGTATCTTTAGACAACAGTTATTCCTGGAGAAATCTATAGACATTAGTAACTATTTAATTGTGTTAATCAATATCTAATTTGTTTATAAGTAATTAAAAATAATAATGAAACAAAAATGTAACAAACTAGTAAATGAATATTAAGGTAGGTAGAGTGGCACTCAGAGGTATTTTAAGAGCATATACAGTTTAAAAATGTTAATTACCCACCAACCCAATTTTTTATTTATTTATTMGTTATAAGTTAACAATTAAGTACATAGGTAGTATATACAATTTCTGAATCTCATTTTATTATAAAACACAGGAAAAAATATTCATTAAGATAATTGGTTTAAAAATTACCATTTAAGGTTCCTATTCAGAATATTCATGGTATACTGTTATTATAATAAAATATGTGATGAAAACAACACATACTGATAAAAACTTCTAAAATTACAAAGTAATTAATAATATTATTTGTATATTTAATAGCCTAGCTTATACTAGATTATAATATTAATATTTCAGTATAGGTAATATACCTGATTTTTTGATTAATTGGTTCACTAAATGGTAAAGCTTAAAACATTTGACAAATTCTTTCAACAAATACAGTAAGTGTTATGTTACTTGATCTTGAATTATATCTTGCTTGGTCTAGTCATTAACAATGACTAAATACCATAGACAATTAATAGAAAATAAATAGCTATTATTGTACCTATTGTATCAACCTTAATAATACATTGTATATCTTAGTTGTATAAGTCTACTTACTTGCTTAAGTCATGTTTTAAACATTTATCTATTTAAACATAAATTTATTCATTTCAAATTAATTTAACATAAATCAAATATATCTTATTTGTATTACTTGTTTTCATAATATCATATTTAAGAAATATGATATATTTCTGTATGACATACCTAGTTGTAGTATTCCAAAATTTTCATATTTACATAAATATTGTTTTTAAACGTTTCAATTTTCAAAATATTTTAATGTAGAATAGTTGTTAGTAAAAGTTAAACACATTCAATTAACAAATGAATTCACATTGCAAATGAGTAAATAGCTTTCTTGTATATTTTTATTTAAATTAACAATGTCTAATAAAATATTAAATGGTAGCATTTGTCTTTATCATAACAAGTGTGTATTATATAAAATAAAATGATATACTTAGATACCTACCTAAAAATTTACTCCATCAATGAAAAATCTATTATATTGATAAACCTACTTAATTTGGGAATTATTTATATTTTTACGCCTTCACTCCTTTGTGATCTAAAAACGATAATACAACTAATGAGCTGTGCTTTTTCCTTCAATAAATATACATTTTGGCTGACTAAATTATGATTTTTCTTGTAAATGACATTCATTGACTCAACATCATTATACATTCTGAAATTTAAAACTATACCTTAACTAACTTACAATGCAACACTACATAGAATAAAACATAAATGTTCCTACATTAAATAAAACTTCTTTTGTAATTTGTTAATATTGAAATCTTTTAATTATACAACTTGATTAAACTAAATTTAAAATCTGAATAAAACTAATGCATTACTATGAAGTAGGTCAAATCTATTATTAAAATAAGCTGTGTGGCAAGTAGATAATAATATGTTAAAAGTATTTTTCTATACAATTCTTAGTATCCATAATCATTTTATTAATATTTATATACCTAAATTGTAAGCTGTAATTATTTTATAGGTGTATAAATGTATATGATGTTTTATAAATTAATATATTATGCTTAATTTCCCTGGTTAACTTTCAAGGCCATAGAATATATTTTATTAATATTTAAATATTTATAAAATCAATAGAATAATATCATGTAGTATTCAATTTGAAATAAAATTTATAACATACCCATTAGGCTAACAAAATAAATACATATATCGTAGCTTAATTTAAATAATATGACGTTGTCTTTTGATGATGTTTAAAAATAAAAAATTTATTTTAATTAGTTCACAAGAACATAAAAATGAATACTGTTATGTAGGTATCTACTATCTTTAATAAATTAAATCTAAATATTTTGTATTATTCTCAGAAAATGTATTCGTTTATGTGTTATTTAATGCCTACCTAATAATATGTGGTATGAATAATATTAATAAGTTGTCATTTAATGTTAATTAAAAAATTGAATACTTAAAAAAAAAGGTATTTATGTCCTATCTTTTAGTACTTGTGGTAGTCTAAATACTTTGAATTATTATGAACTTTGAAGTATCTTKAATTTTGTTCAATATTATGTAATTGACRATTTAAGAGGACGCTAYACCCGCATAATATGTTGTCTTCGTCTTACAAACAAGTAACGTAGCAAATTTTATGCTCAGCAGAACACGTTTAGCTCCGTTAGTTTAAAATTTAGAGTAAATTGACCTCTTACAAAAATTAAAGGTAACATTATTATCGAGAGCATCTCGTAGGCTTTTTATTATATTTTTATTTTAAAGTGAGTTATGTGTATTTTAAAATTGTAAATTGTTTTTATAAAATGATTGTGTAAAAGTGTAATGACTAATAAAAC